GGCGGGTGGGGGGCCACGCCGTCGGTCGGGCGGAGGCGCCCAGGCATCCGCACAGAGAGGCACAAACGAAAAAAAAAAAGGCAAAACACAGAAGAAAAGCCGCACCGTGAGGGAAGAACGAGAGTGAGTGAGTGAGTGAGTGAGTGAGAGAAGGCCAAATGCAACGCGGGGGAAGCAAACTAGGTGCGGAAACACAAACACAGTGCATATGAATTTTAAAAAAGAAAAACAATTAAAAAAAAGGCAGGTGAAGAGGGACGAGTGGATACATCGAATAACAAAGCAGAAAAAAAAAGTCTCCATTTAATGACGCTCTGCGCTCCCGTCGTGTCCGCATTTGGCTTTCTTTGTATGTGTGCGTGTGTGTGTGTGCCCTCCACGCTGATGCAGTTCTTCATGCATTCATTGTTTTCATTTCTGGTTCCGTGTTGTCAACCTTTCTTGTTTCTCATTGTTGTTGATGGTGATTTCTTTTTGATTCTACAATATCTGTGTTCTTTGATTTACTGTTCATTGTTTGTTGATGAAGATGTTTTTTTTTTTCTTTCTTTTTTTTTCTTGTACTTGGACTGCTGCATTCGAATTCTCTGGGTTTCTCTTCTTCTTTTCGCTGGCGCCCTCCTTCACGTTCCTCCACGTGGCACTGTGCGGCGCTGACGCACACATATGCTGTGTGCGTGTGTGCGAATGACTGGGGGCGGGGGGGAGTCAGCGGGGGGAAGAGGGAATGGGTTTGTGCTTTTCATTTCCTATTTGGTTCCCCTTTTGGCTCTGTGGTGTGTCTGTGTGCTTCTGGGCGTGTGTGGGTGGCTGTACGATGCCTGTTGTTGTTGTCGTCGTGGGTTGTGACGGCCGCTTGATGGTTTTCTTTTCTTTTTGTTTCGTTATGGATTGTGGTTGTTGTTATTGCTGTTGGATTCCCCCCCCTGTGTGGGGGTTTGCGCAGGCACGCACCACCACCGACAACAACAACAGGCATCATACAGCACCAGAAGCAGCGGCGGCAACACGCACACGCACCCACACATAATAACGCAGGCGAGACAACAGGGGGACTCAATACGTGGGGGTGCGGGGATGAATTGAAATAAAACCGAAAACAAAACAAAAAAACAATACAAAAAGAATATAAAAACAAAAACAAAACGAAAGATAGAGAGCGGAAGGACCCACTCCCCCCTCCTCGCAAAGCAAAAAAAAAAATTTATGGGTGCAGAGGTGAATATCAGAGAGAGGGGGGAAGGGGGGAATGAATTAGGTGTGCGGAGGAGGTGGTGGAAAGATGACTCGGTGTGACGGATGAACTGTGTGTTCCCTCGGGCGATTTTGTTGCGTATATGCTTCGCTTCTCTTCCCTCTTCGTCCACGCCAGCCAATCTTGCGTCAGTGCTGCGGTGGTGAAAGTAGAGGAAGAAGCATTTTTTTTTTTTTAGNTTTTTTTTTTTTAGGGGGGTGGTCTTGTTGGGGGCGTGGAGGTTCGTTGGACGGAGAAAGAAGACCTAGAGTGGCGGAAGGGACGCGCGCAACGACGGGCAAAGAGAAAGCGAAGCAAGAACAAACAGAAAAGGGGGGGCAACGTACATCTATGCGTCGATATATATATATATATATATATATATATATAGGGAGAGAGAGAGAGATGCGTCTGTGGATAGATGTATGGTGTGCGAGAGGAGCTGCCACGCGTCGAGCAGGGGTGTGGCGCAATGTGCGGCGTTGAGGGCGGGACTGCCAGCGGCCGTCTGCAGCTGCCCGGTAAAAATCCCCCGCATACGACGGTGGCGTTCCTGTTGCCGCTGCTCCTTGGGTGGCCTGGTGGCGTGTGCCCCTCTATCCTTTTTGTTGTTTGTTTTGATCGGTTTTTCTGGGGTTTCCCTTACGGCATTGCGCTTCTTGATGAGTTGGAAGGTGAGCAAAAAGGT